TATCCCTCGATGTATAGGCACACACGTACACCAAACAATCGTATGAAGTGTGTGTTGCAGGAACAAGCCTGTGGCCTACTATGGAAGCCTCCTCTACAACCACAGGTAGAAATGATACAAATGTAGCCTCGGCCGATTATTGCACTTATCACAGTTTAGTGGCTCAGATGAAACAATGTTGCAACCATCAACACAGCGCCATGCTATCTAGAAAACACACCGAGATGGATGTTATATATTTGAATGCAGTGCGATATAGTAGGAGCAAAGACCTAACATAAGCAGCCGTTACATTTTCCTGTCTGCTGTGTCAAATGTGCCACAAATAGTCGCCAGCCTAGGCTTAATAAGCGTGTATTTTTGTTTCGAAAACTCATTTGCACAGGCCTAGTTGCTAATAAGAATGTAGGCTATGTCGAGAAGGGATAAGAAATATCTGGGCCACAAGCTGCAGGCTACTGTCAGCCCTGGGGTATTGCACAGAGAGCGCGACAGGGAGCCAAAAGTGGGTGAGAAAAGCGTTTCCTTCTCGCCACAGCTCTACGTTTTTTCGACCGTTCACTCAAAGCGGAACGCTCGCTACGAGCGAGAACCTGTCAAAACTGAGCTATATTCGACACATTAAAGCACAGGCCTGTCCACTGGTTTGTTCACCAGTCGGCGGAGGTTGAAAATAAGAGTCGTTGCTGCTTACCATCTTGCAGGTCGGATGATGAAATCCAAGCGATGTGAACGGAAAAGGAGGTTACAACAGCAGAAGTCAGCAGGCCGCCGAGCTGTGGCGAGAAATACAAGAAAAATACGCTGTAGGTGCTCTCGGCTCTCGTCCTGGCTTTACACCCAGGTTCAGGATCTCTTAACCGTTTCTCTCTCCTTCACCGAGGCTTTCACTGCAGTGGCTGAAGGGAGGGAGACCCGCTGGGAGGGGACAGTAAGCGGAGGAGGAGGTTCGGTTTGACAAGCAGGCGGTGGCGGAGGGGAGGAGAGAAGAGTCGAAGGGGGGGAGGTGCAGCAGTACTGTACATCCGGGAACTGCTGGGTCTATCGATTTATTTATTTATTTGTATTCCTGCTTCGAGTACAAGTTTGTGCACGTGCTCCCCCAACTGGCTTTATGACTGTACTACAAGAAGAGGCCAATCTAGCCTTCGTCTCCTGAACCTCAGTATATCCAAGTTTTACATGGAGTTCATTTTTGCTATAATGCCCTAAAGTGCTTGAATTATTCCTCGGCGATTGTGTTCCATATTGACACGGTAGCTTCACACAGTTGCTGCAGATTCACCTACTGAATCTCCTTGATATGCACCTGCTGTTTCACCACTTGCCAAATGTGCAATACTGGATTGAGAGCTGGTGAGTGTGAAGACCAGATAAGCATACCAAACTTAATTTCACATTAAAAAAAAATAGTCTGAGGTGATTTTACCTTTGTGACATGGTACATTATCATGCTGGAAGCAGCAAGATGTCAAAAGATGGGTACACTGTAGTCATAAAGGGATGGACATGGTCAGCAGCAATACTCAGGTAGAGTGTGGTGTTTAAATAAGGCTTAGTGGTCCTACGGAGCCCAAGGTATCCCAAGAAAATACCCCCTCACATTTACACCACCAATAGCCTGAACCACTTATACAAGACAGAATGGGTCTATGATTTCATGTTGTTTATGCAAAATTCTTCTTTTTGACAATGTGATTGTTTCTAGATTGTCTTATCCTTGTATTTATCCCCAAACGCCTTAATAAATCACCTATAAACATGACCCAAACATGTGCGAGTATGCACATAATGTGATTCTGCAGTA